TTAAACCCACTAAAAGTTCGTCACTTTTCGCAGGGGAGCAGAAAGCGACCAAAGTTTTCTAGAGAAAGAAGGCTCACTTCCTGCGTTCTTTGGGAGCACAATTCTTGGTGGTTCTCAGCCATGCGGTTCCTTCGCTTTTTCTCGCCTTTTAGTGTTTAGTGGTTCTGCGGTTCCTTCGCTTTTTCGCCTTTGAGTCTTCAATTCGTGGTTGGATTTTCCGAGTTGAAGCCCACTAAAAGCGTCCGCCGCTTCTCGCGGAGTCCGAAAAAACGGGCCGCCCAGTTCGAGGACTTCGGAGGTTGTTTGGGTTGGGATCCACTCCGGCGGCCTGTGGGCCCCAAAAGCCAGCTCCAAGCCGTTTTCTGTGGGAAACGGGGGGACACACTGCCTGAGGTGAGCTTCATGGATGGGTTTCCCACCCCCAATCCAACCCCCCCCCCTTCCTAGACTCCAGACTCCCCCAGACTCCCCCAGACCCCCCCAGACCCCCCCAACCAACCCCGGCGCCATTGCAACTTGACCACTTTGGAGGTTTTTTGAGCCACCCACTCCATGACTCCATGGGCCCGCGCGGGGCGCCAGAGGCGGTGGAGCTCTGTGGCTGGGCCATGGAAGAGCTGGACTGGCGCGCCGGGGTGCTCGGGGTGGGGGAGGGGGGTTGCTTCCATTTGGTGAAGAATATGTTTTTCTGCCTGTTGGTTTTAAAGGGAATCGATTTCACTAATTTTACTTTTTCCAGGGGACTTTAGCAAATGGAGGGTTGGGGGGTATGGAACGCGGAGGTTTAGAGGTTTCCTGGCCAGTCGCAGGGGGAGGGGATTTTTTTTTTCTTTCTCGGATTGACACTCAGTGCACAGCAGGCCTTGTCCGCAGAGCCCGAGTCCCTAGTTGCAATTGAACAGACCTGTTCGGGCAGTATCTTTGCGATACTCACACGACCGGCAGAGTTCTGGGCGCGCATTCAAGGAGTGCCTGCACTCGTCCTAGCCTGGCCGGGAAGGTGCAATGCTTGCTCGGCATTGCTCTTGGGATGGATTCGGAGATGCCTGACCAGCGTCAGGATCATCGGCGTGGTGGTGCGGCTCATGTCCGGCCCGGCCGGAATTTTTTGTGCTTGGATCTACGTCTGGATCTTTTTCTGAAGTTACTTTTGCCACAGTTGGTACGCAAGCGCCCACTGCATACTGGGCCCCTCTTTTCTGTCAAACTGACTCATGGTATGGTTCATGGCCTCGACCAACGGCAATCACGCTGGAGCGCTGCATGGTTGGAGCTAGCTAGCGAAGACGTGGCCCAGCAAGGGGTGCGCCATTTTGGAGGGTGCCATTTCTTGGTTGGTTTCAAGAGGAAACTAAAAGGACACTCACCATTTTTGGGGGGTCCCCCTAAGAAAGACACCCAGGACAGGTGTCGTCTGCCGAAAGCATCATGTCAGCTTCCATCATTGGCGGGTAAGTGATGGAACCCATCTGGTAAGAGGTTCCTGAGCCGGGGAGGATCTGGCTCCGGAAATCTCGTGAAGCGAGCTCGTTGTTTTTTGGAGCTGCGGAGAAGTGGTCAACCACCAATACAAGCCCCTTTACAAGCCCCCTACGGAGAAGTGTATACCCTTGCACTATGAGGATGTGCGAACTGGCCCCCTTTTTGACTCCGTTTTGATGGACAAACCTGGTCTTAAAGCACCCCACAACCCCATTCTAATATTTAGACCATCATATTAAGCCTATTCACCTCCATTTGGTTAAGAATATGTTGAATTTTCCGATTTCACTACTGGACATCCTGTGGATTGGACAAAATCCTGCACCACAAAAGGAAACCATGGGAATGAAACCATAACGTTTGTTGGTATTTACGTTCGGGAATCGAATCAGAAACCAGGTTTTTTAAACGGTGGTGCGAGAAGCGGATATAGTTTGCCTCTTGTTTCACTTCCGCTGGTTTCCCCTGGTTACCTACTATAGTGGCGAACCGCCTGGAAGCACCGTTGCTGTGGGGTTCTGAGATTTCGATCCAACTCCTTTTTTTGGTGGTCTTTAAAGTGAAACCTGAAGAAGATCCCAAAGGCAATGGATTTCACTACTGGACATACTGTTGACGGACAAAATCCTGCACCACCTAAGAAGCCCTAGCATGCTGATTCCCCTGTAAATACCAGCCGACCATGGTTTCAAACATGGCTTCAAAGTGGTGCGAAATGGATTTTGTCCAGCCACAGTATTGCCGGGGCAGGTCTTGAAGAGCTTTCTCTTATCCCAAAGGTACCGTGCTTGACATGGGGAATCTTGACGGTTTGGATTGTTTCAATCCGAAGGGTACCCTCCAGACAGGGGGAACTTGTCCGGACCCTTCAATTGGATTGCTTCCGTTGCGAGCGAAGAAGACAGCAAACTCCAAGGCCCGTGGGGCGGCGGCAGAGGCATTGGCAGCCTCCGCCCTACCGGCAGGCGTGGCCTCGTTCTCCAAATCCCGTCCCCCCGCCAAAATGTGGAGGGGTGATCAGAAGGTCCTTTTAACTATCCCAAAGCTTTACAATATCCCAAAGGCAGTATGGTTTGATACATAATTCTATCAATATTCAAGCTTTAAACCTAGTTGCCTCCTGTCCACGTTGGAATCCACCAAACAGTTCTTTTTAGAGGAAAATGGTCCAAACCAGGACCCCGAAACGTCAGGTTCCATGATAATTGGTGGATGGGAGGACACATGAGATGACCAGGGAAAGCCACAAAAAGAGTGTGCCATCCACCACATGGGATAAGCGACCCATGTCCCGGACGCTTTGGTGGCCCATCAAGAAATATGTGGAGGTTGTAAAACATTAATCCATGCCATCTTGGAAAGTCAATGATCTTTATAGTGATCATTTATCTTTATACTGGTTCCATTATTTTTATTTGTAAAGAGGTCTTGGTGGCTCACTTGTCCTTGTCGCGAATTGACCATTTCGACCTTTGGTTTTCCCTTGTTGGTCCATGTTAGTCATGGTCGCGAAAAGGAGAGGATGTCTTTTTTTCCGGGCTTCTTTGTCCGCAGCATAGCCAAATTTGTTGGTTTCCGCATTGGGTTTCCCTCACGAACCAACAGGGGGTCCACCATTTTGAGTTCCCCCCAGTATTCATGACTTCACTCATAGCTTGACTCATACTCATAAATGCAGAGGTTGGAGGGAGGTTAGGGAAGGTGAAGTTCTGAGGGGGGTCGGCCCCAGCATCCAGTCTTCTTATTTTTTGTAGGAGGTCTTGGTGGCCCTGGTGTTCGGAACCTTCAAAGATGAGGTTGAATCGGCCCTGCAGGTCCGGCAGGGCACCTCGGAAGTGCTTCGGGTAGAGACGAAGCCATTGGGATGGGTTTGCGGGGGAACCAGATTAGGTCATATGATCAGAACCCAAAGAAAAAACATATGAGATCTATCCACTATACCAACCCCCGTCCCTGCAAACATCAAATGGATGTTTGATGTTTCTCAGAATGGTGGACCCCCCTTTTGGTTGGTATTTGAAGGGAAACCAAAAGGCAACCATTTTACGGGGCCAAAACTACTAGAAGGGTCGGGGCGGTTCACAGGGCGACGTCAGGAGCGGGTAGTAACCATGGTAGCCCACTCCGCGGATTTGACAGCGGATTATAGCTGGTAACCAGCCATGTTCCCTTTGGTTTTCAAAGGGTGGTCTCCTAGACACTTTGTGGGTTATGGTTCAAGGTTACTCCCAGTTACAAAGTGCCCTGCCCCCTTTAGGGTTCCTTGATAAGGTCAAGGGATCATTTGGTACATGAGGGACGCAGGGACGCCGGGAACCCAGAGAGAACCCCAGGCTGATACAACTGCCTAAGGTGAAAAACACCTCCACTCGCAGTGGTGAGGTAGGTTGCAAGCACTGCAATCATATAGGTGTCCTGTTTGGTGTTGGTGGAAAAATAATTAGATTGCGATTCCTGGTGTATTTGGTGGATTAATCATCTGCCAGGGCCATCTATTTTCCCTAACAGGACACCTATGACTACAATCCTTGAAGGTCAAGCAGTCAGGTGGGGAAGCGAGTGGCTAGGTCTCAGACAGACGAGCCGCGAGCTTGTTGTCCGCAGGCGACGAGCACGCCATCTCCGTGGTGACAGACCTTTTGGAGACGTCTGGCGCTCCACGCGGGGGCGGAGTGGGCAGGGGGTTGGTTGGGGGGAGGGAGGGGTTGGTGGGTGGCGTCCTTTTTTTTCGGGCTGGGTTGGTTGATGCGGAGTGGGAGCCGTTTGGCATCCTATGTATTTACCTTTGCCGGTGTGTTTTCAAGTGAAAGGAGCATGGGCCCCAAAGCAGAGACTTCGGTCGGCATTCTCGGAAGAACTACCTGTCTAGAGTCTGCTGTATAGCTGTGGCAGATTCCATGTTGCATTTGGCCTGCATGAACTATATATCCGGCAAGAACCTTCCAGCATGCAACAACCTGTGAGCAAGCTCGTGTGACTGGCTTGACTGGCTGTTGCCACTTGGTTCTTCGAGTGGTTCTTTGCCTGCTTTGCGTGTGGATGCATTGGCGGTATGTTGCATGAGCAGACAGAACGGACGACCACCTCTCAGGTGCCAAACCCCCCCAATGACCCCCAACTGGCAGGGCCCTGTTTCCTCCGTTGGCTTATCAATCGCTGGGAGGGTCTTTGGGGGTTGGTCTGTAAGGAAGTCCCTTGCTTGGGTCGCGTTGTGCTGCGTGCCGCGCCTTTCGCTTTTCTGCTCAGAGGAGGATGTAGGCGGGGCGTGGGGCTGCGATGCGAAGTGTCAGTGAGTCAGACTTCCCACCCCAAGCAAGCCATGCAGTCCAAACTGAGAGCCAAAAAACCCTCGAATTCCTGAAGTAGTCTAACCAAACACGCAGCCCACAAGCTTCAGAAAGCCCAGGTGGCCCCAACCTGGGGCGGAGCGAGCAGCGGCGTCGGCTCCCGACTTCTAACTTCCGAACTCTCGCGCGCGCATTTTGCGCATCCGCGGGAACTTCGGAGGGGATTGTCTCATGATGGCAGCGCTCGCAACTTGGCAACTTGGGGCTTGGCAGTTTGCGGCTTGCTGGATGCGGTTTCGCAGGGGAAACCCTCCCTGTTTCTCTTAACCTCCAAAAGTGGCGATGGTTTCGATTGAAACCACCGGAAAATCGATCCACTTGTTGCGGGGAAATCCTCTCGCCTCAGGCCGGTGGACCACAGTGCGAGATTCCCTTCTGCTGTTCTGTTCAGCCACCTCTAAGGGTCCAGTCATCGTACCACGCTGAGAAAATTGGAACCTTGACAGGGCACCAACTTGTCCCAACCGGCCCGAATGTGACACCGGGGACTTGATGTCTGAACCTGACTCACACATGTCGAAAAAGGGCGTGTACGCGTGCGCGGGGGCACCAGTTTGGGTCAGAGCTCAGATGTGTCTTTTGGGTTTAAGCATCACCTCCTCCAAGGTATATTAATTTGGGCCTCAGAAGGGGGAATGGGGGTTGAGGGGGGTGGGATCCTATGCTCGGGGCAAAGAGGCCGTTGAAGCATTTTGAGATGGTTTGACCATCTTTCCTGTCCGGACTGGGTGCTTAGTACAGGCTGAACCATGGGTCTGTCGATTTTGGGGCGAGCTCAGAAATGGGGGGTAAATCGGAGCTCGCCGTGCTGATTTATGAGGTTTAGAATATATGTGCAAAATTGAACTTGGGACATAAAAGGGCTCACTTCCCACATCATTGGGCAGAGACAACACCAGCCAGTCGCAGATTTCATTGAATGGCTCGCACTGCGTTGGGTTGGCCCTTGACCCCACTAATTTTCTTGGGGACTGGTTTCATTTCCAACCAACAAACACCAGTACCCCTCGACAACTGCTTTTTCAACCATGTCCAAAATCCCGTTTGTAAGACAACCAAAAAGGACATGTGGTTGAGACTTGCGTGCGGCGATCCGTAAGTTTTGCAAAGGGAGTCCTCAAAACACAAAAGTGTCACTCCACGCATACCCAGACACCTTTTTTTCCTCTTTCACCTTTCAAATTGCAAAGGACGCCAGTGGGAGACAAATGGATTGGGCCCTTCAAATGGGAGCTTCCTTTTTTAGTTGGTACCTGTTTTTGGCTTCAAAAGAGGAAGACCATGGAGGGTGTGTGTGTTTTTTGAGGTATATCTATTTTTGGTCAGCCAATGGAAGCCCAGAGGACCATTTTGCAGGGTCCGATTCATGGAGAGGTTCCGCGTCTCCGACCGATACTTAGCGAAAACACGCGCCGAACGAACACCGCCGAGGCAGTGCTCGCCTTGGCAGGCAGGGTGTTTTTTGGTGCGCCGCTGAGGGAGGTTTCAGACAATGAGACCCGGCGTTCATGCCCAGTTGTGTAGTAAATCCACCCAGCCGGGTCCATCCAACTAATTTGGCGCGCCTGCAACAATGCCACAACATAACGAACAATCTTTGTTGTTTGCTGGGTTTAAAGGCTGAATCTATAGGTCCATATATGAATCCCTGCTGGGAGCCCCTCGTTTATGGGTGAATTCACCGTTAGTCCTGGCTGAACTATGGCAAATCGGCCTCCCAATATGACTATACAATCAGCCTTCTCTGGGTCCAAAAATGATCTCGGCCTAGGGTTCCTTTAGGTGGCCATCGGGTTTCGACCAAGGCTGGTGGGTAATTTGTGTATGGATCTAGGCAATTTAGAGCGAGATCAGCCGAGGTGCGAGGTGGAGCAAATGTTTTAAGCGAGGTGTTTCAACTAAATTCAGAGGTGACGAGGTAAGATTTATTGCAAATTGCCTAGATGGATGTTGCCAAAAAGCCTATTAGCCGGGCACCGGATGTGGGGTCGGGCTCAACATCTGGAGATTTTCTGAGGGATTGGTTTGACAGATTCCTTAGGACTTTGCCACCATAAACATTTTTTGTTCTTTTTACAAGCAAGGAAACTTGATTGAGTAGAAGGAACCAGAAAAGCCATCATGTAAGACCTAAGAGGGAACCATAATGTCATGCTTACCTACGTGGCCAACGCCGAATTGGTAGGTAACTAAGCGATTAGAATGAATTGGGGTCTGACTTCGGAGCCGAAGCCAAAAACCATCAATCGGACCCTTGGCGTAGTACCCTCCCACCAATTAACAGCCGGAACCTGACGCTCGGGACCCGGTCTCTTTAGGAATCCCCAAACAGTTCATTCAACCACATTCCCTACTGATCGTACCGATCGCAAGTTATTTAGGGTAATGTTGACCCCATATTAATCAAACTCTGTTTGTTTATGTGGCGGTCTTCCCCTCCAAAAGTGGTCTGATTCCCCCAAAATACTCTACAAATGGGCGAATTCCCTTTTTTATGGGTAGTTTGAGGGTCCAGGTGGTCTGATGCCCCACGAATTACCTTTGCGCATCTCAAAAAAACTGGGGCCAACTCTCCAGCTTCGCGCGCCGCCCGCCGCGCTCCAAAACGCGAAGCGAGGTGTCCTGAGATTCGCGGGAGCGGCCACCACCGGGCAGGCGGAAGTCGGGGGTCCGGCTTCTGGCCAGACAAATGCAGATGGTAGCAAACGGGATGGTTTTCTTCCTGGGGTAGACTTAGGATCTTTTTGTTTTGTGGGCATCTCTTTTGGAATCTTTTTGAATCGAAACCAAAAGGCAACCACCTATTTTTGGGAAAGCCCGATTCCTATCTTAAGACACACCCGCATCATAAATGGTGTTGGGAAACATAAATGGTGTTGGGAAACGTGTTGCTTATGGTGGTTTAGTGGTTAAAATCCAACCACTTAACTGCTAAAATGTGTTTTTTTGCTCCCCTTCCAACGTCCCAAGGAATATGGGATGGTGTTCTTCCATCTTGCCGTTTTCTGGCAGGTTCCCAGGGAATCGTCCGGGTCCTGAGGTGTTTAGTTGGTTTTCGGTTAGTTTAGTGGCGGTGTGTCCGAATATAACCCACAAAACGTTTAGAAGGGTATCTGAGGACAGCTCAGTTTTTGCATATGTTTGTATTTGTCTTGTCTTTCCCTGTTTGTGTTTAAGGTAATCTATCACTGCTGGAAATAGTTTCTCATTTTGTCTAGGGGACGAACAAGCAAATGGAAGGACAAACCAAATGGTGGTAGAAATTTAGGTTGCCTTTTTCCGTTCGAGGCCCAGGGTATCCAAGGTGACAAAGTAGAATGAATGCATGCATGCATGAATGAATGAATGAATGAATGAATGAAGGAAGGAATTAATGAATGAATGAATGAGCAAATGAATTCGTGGGGGGAAGTCCCATTGTGGTATCCCGGATGCAGATCGGTGAACGTTTCGATTGTGCGTGTGACCTGCGGTCTATACGCAAGTCATCTCAAGTCAGAAGTTTCTGGGGCAGTCATCACAAGAGGGTGGTCGTCTGCAATGGCCAAAAAAGGTCACAGAAAGTTGTTTTTTCTTTTCCCACAACCATGGACAGAGAGAGTTTCCTCTGTTTTCCGTTGCAACCACAAGGAGTCCGCCGAATTCCGGCATGGGAGAACATTGCGGGTGTCATGTTTTGAGGGTGTTCGGGGTGGGAGAAAGGGGATCCTAAAGGACACCCTTCAAAGGTTCCCTATTTGATACCCAGATCCTCAACTCTGTATCCTTTCAGGACACCTGTATAAGCTTCCAGTTGCCACTGCAGTAGGTATCCAGGACAAACCATGATGTCAGGTCAAATATGAAGGTAAATACCGAAGCTTCGGGGTTTCCTGCGCTGATTTGTTCCCGCCTGGAAGCATTGGGAAACCTGAAGCAGGGGCAACTCACAACACGTGTGCTTTGTTGAGCGGAACCCCCGAACATGGTTAGCTTAAGTTTCCTCTTGGTTTCTCTCTACAACCGCCCAAGCTTGAACACGGGTATCCTCCAAAAAGACCACAGGGGACCCCGGGCACAACTTCTGCAAGCGTCCACCTTCAAGACGGGGCTCGGGGCCTCGAGCCTGGCTCGTCTTTTGGCGGCTTCCAGCCATCCGGTTCCTGAGCTTTTTAGATCCTTTGAGTGTTTAGTGGTAGTTTCCGTTTAACACACTAAAGTAAAACAAAAAATACCAGGGGATCTGAGGGCCCAGGGTAAAGATGGGTGGGATCTCCTTCTGGTTTCCCTTTCAACCTACCAAAACAGACACAACTATGGGAACCACCATTGAGCCCAAGAAAAGGCTTTTCCTTCTGGTTTCTCCTTAAACCCGCCATAAAAAGAAAACGGGTGCGAAGCCGAAGCCTCAAACAAAAAATGGATCGACGAGCCCTGGAGGTCCTGGTGGGTCAGCTGCAAGATCTCAAGGGCCCCATGGGGGTGACCTTGACCGACGTGGGCCTTGTGGTGGTGGACACAGCTGGGCCCTCGGACGGACGAGATATCCCGGCGACTGCGAAGTGGGGAGGGGTTAAGTTGCGAATATCCCTGGCATTTTTCGGGGGTCCCTAGGTTTGCCCATTTGGTGGTTTTGAACATCACCTATTTTTGCCCATTTGCGGTGAGTTTCCTTGGTAGGGGGGATGTTTTAAGGGGACATGCTTTTTGAATCAGGAGCAAAATCAAAGAAGGACCCTGTATTTGCGTGGCCTTGGAAGACCAAGGTACTTTCTAAATAGGACCCTCCTGTCCACAAACGTCACGAAACTTGACGTTTCAGGTGCCTGGTAAGGACCATTTTCGTTCACAATGGACCCTTTGCTGGGTTCCACGTTAGTGGACAGGAGGGTAAACAGTTTAAATAGCTGTAAATGTTGATGTATAGAATCACATCAAACAACAGGGATGGTTTAAGGTGTGATGGTTCAAAACGTGAACTGTGGGGTAGACCGACTTACGGGGATGGCTCGCTTTGGTATCGCCAGCGTGACGTTTCACACTTCCTCCACCCTGGAAATGTTTCGGAACGAAACCAAACCGGACGGCCCCCTTTTTGTGAACCCCGCCCACCTGAGCTCCTTATCCAATGTTTGTCGTGCACGGGTGCCCCGTGTTCCCTTACACCCGAGGACAACCACCGGGTGCTCTTGTGCCCGAGCTGGCAACAGGCCATCTTGCGCCAGCCGTTCGATGATTTTGTGCTTGGCGCTATGTGTGCTTCCATTTTTAAGTTTTTTCCCCTGTTGGTTTTAACAGGAATCAATCACTACTGGATTTTTTCCAGGGGGCTTATGCAAATGGAAGTGTTTTTGTTTTCTCTGCAGGTTTGTGCAGTCCCGGATTTTCCACTCTGGCCTTCAAAAGTGGCGCCAAACTGTATGTTCCTCTTGGTTTCTCTTGAAACCACCAACAAAACAAATACCTGCGTATCCCACAGTGTATAAAATGTCAGGTTTTTGAAAGAACACTGCTGTTCAGTCTGGGAGCATGTATTTCTGCCCGGTATAGGGACGCCTGAAATATGGGGATGCCAGTCTTAATGGACACCAGCTGTGAGAAATTCAACCCGTGGTAGCACAAGACAACGGGCAATGTGTATTCCTGACTGCACAACACCAGCTTTTTGAACTGGGGAACACGAAGCGAAGAGTCAAGTGGAACTTCTATGCTCGGCTTTGTCTTTAGCGCGGTTCTGGGCCTTTCAAGGGAACTTTTCGGGTTTGCTTTGTTTATTAGAGGTGCTTGCAATGAAACATCCTGCAACATCCTGCACAGCTGCTGGACGATTAAACCCAAGTATTTTTTGCAGATTATGAGTCCTCATGCTGCCATTGTTGGATGTGCTTGAAGGTTTGGCATCTAGTTTGACTATCAGGCTCGGGCCAAACACGTTTAAGGTTTAACCAGTTCAACCACAAAACATGCTGGCGCCAAGCCCGAGGTTCGCCCACCCCTAGCAAGTAGCCAACATGCACGAGACAGTGGTTAGGGTTATGTCTTCCCTGCGTGTGCGTAGACGTTTACTCGGTTAAAACATGCCGCCTGGGCTGGTTTCTGGGTCTGGTGTTGGGCGAACTCTGGATCCACCGGACCCGAGATCCGAGCAGGGAGCTTCTGGTTGGGTCACCAAAGTTGGCCTCGGCGTTCCTTTGAAAGTTCGCCTCTTCTGGTTCGGGGATCTTCTGTGAGTTTTCCTTTTGGTTCCCCTTTTTAGGGGGCGCCCCTCCCCCCTTGCCCCCCGAAAAAACAAACCAAATAAAGCAGCAGTTTTCCCTTTTTGAGCACCGGCCAAAGGTGTGCCGAGCACCTCAACAGACGGGCCACACCCGGCCAGGACTTCCAGCAGTCCGTCTGCAAGCTCGTGGCCGGCACCGGCAGTAGCGGCTTTGAGGCCATGGAGTGTTCGACCAGAGAAAATGGGCCCAGCACGCGGATCCCAACCGCTCACTTCCCGAGTGCCGGTTCGCTTTTTGGAGTTTGGCTACCGTTTTTGTGGTAAACAAGAAGTTTGGTGACTTGTTTTGGGCCGCTCAGGAAGTGGTATGTTGTGATCCAACCCGCTCAGGAAGTCAATGGTAAAATCTGGAGGCAAAGCCGAAGGGTTACCTCCAGCACCCGAGTCCCAACCACTGCTTTTTGGTTGCCGTACAGACGGGATTTTGGGCATGATTGAAAAAGCAAGCAAGTTAGGGGGGGATGCTGGGGTGTGTTTTCTTTAAATAGGGAACCCACGAAGTGGGTAGCTAACTTTCTGGGCTACAATGTGTACTCAAAAGCCAGATTTCGTCATGGGTAAACTACCTAAATGCTCCGAGGGCGGATGCAGAACCGTCCCGGGCTTGCAAGCCAAAAAACGGCTTTTAAGTTGGGTCTTGTCTGGCATTGTTGGTATGCTTACTCCCTAAGTTTCTGGACTTTAAGCTTTTTGGGAAGACCATTTTAGTGGTGAATAAACAGTTTGGACTTTTGTGGGGCCTGAAGGCCGGCCAGTTTTTTTTGTTTTTACCCACTGGGTTTGTGCATTGTTTTGTTTATGAACAACCCAATGTTGTTTTTTTCCTTCTTTTTGTCCGGGGTTCATCTTGGTTCCTTCATTCCCCCGCAGACAGAATCGCCAGAAGGCGGCCAGGGTTTGGTTTCCGGTGCTTCCCATGGTCGGATTGCAAAAACGCCCGGATTGCAAAAACGCCCGAACCTTCCGGGGCCTTCCGGACTCCAAAGCTGCACCGTTGCTCCGCAAAGCTTTCAGCTGTGCCCCTGAGGGGTCTCGATGGTTTTTGGGCCCTCGAAACTGGTGGTTTTAAAGGGCCCCTGAGGAATTGGTCGGGGAGAACCCCATTGGAGGGTCCGGGGGGGGGCAGTGGAGGGGTCATGACCCTTGTGGGAAAACAAACCACCTACTTGGATTTTTGCGTTGCCGAGTTCGTGAGTGCTTGGCCGCTTGGGATAGAACCCCCTATGAGAACGAGCTTGACCCCACACGGGGACTCAAAAGTGGGTTATTTCCGAACGTTCACCAACGACTTTCCATCGAACAATTGTGTTGGACCCAACAGATCACAAACAAAATAATTGGGTGTGGGTCAAAATTAACCACCAGGAATTGGACCGCAGGTTTTAGTCCATGTTTCAACTTTTTTTACCCGCACCCACTTAACACACTCCCCCCTTGTAACGCGCCTCGCAGGCCTCGGAGCTACGGACGCCCTATACGGCGCTGGCGCAGATCTCAGGCGTGCGCCTGGTTTTGTTGCGTGCGAAGCTGGCGGAGGTTTTTTGCGGCGCAGACTTTCCCGGCGCGGGCTTCTTTTATTATTATTATTATTATTTTTCCGCAGAGCTCTGGACACATGCATGGTTGTCGTTGGGAGACATTTTGCTTATTTTTGCTTATTGTGGTTTAGTGGTTGAAATCCAACCACTTAACTGCTAAAATTTAAACTTTTGCTCCCCTTCCAACGTCAACCAAGCATGGTTCGACTTGTTCAGACACTTTGGGGGACCACCCAAACACACCACGGGTCCCCAAAACACACCTCTAAGACTATGGAAGGAGGAGCGATGGAAGGAGGAGTGTTTCCGTTACTGGTGTGTTGGTAGCATTAGCAGCTGTTTCGTATTTTCAAGCACAAGCCCACCTTTCAGGCCTCGTTCAAGCGCCCTTTCATGAGGCTTCCGCTTGTCAAAGATCCACGGTTCGACGGAATTTTCGCCGCCTTCGAAGCCGCGTTTTTTTTTGCTTCGGACCTCCGGGGCCCCGGAGGGTTCTGCTGCCCAAATCGATCGGACCCACAACAACCACAACAACCACAAAAGCCAAAAAACAAGCAAACAACAACAACCACAGCAACAACAACCACAACAATCACAACAAGCACAACAACCCCAACAGCACAACGACCACGACAACCACAACAACCACAACAACAACCGCGGCAACAACTGAAATTGGGTTCGTCCCGGGTTGGGACGCAAGCGGAGGCAGAAATCCGTAGGGTCAGAGACCAAAAACAGAAGCATGATCTGATCCATTTGGGTGTGGTTCATACTTAAGCAGGGGCAAAGCGGTGGTTTTAGGTTTGCTTCCAAATGATTTCCAGGTACCCCAAATTGGGTGTCCAGTTTTTGAGCCTCCAATTTGGGTGTTGAATTAGGGGGTTGGACCCACAAAAGAGTGGTTTGGCTGTCGCGGTAAGCCAACCCCTAGGGTAGTAATTCCAAGCAGTGAGGGATCACACCTCGCTGACACACACACATGCACACAAGCAGGGCCATTTCAGTAGGTTCGGTGCCTGCCTGATTTAATTATGGGGTTATAGAAAAACCACCGTAAACCTTTGTAACCTGCGGAGAACCAACCGTCAAAGGGTTTTGGGCGTTTCTCACACGGGTGTGTGCGTGTGTTCATTGGAATTGGCACCCTTCTTAGGTTGGTTCAGGAGAGACCATTTGCATTCTTGGTTTTGGGGGGGTGATTCTCTGTCGTCCGGTGACTTTCTGACTTTGCCCTAGTCTACGTGTGAGGGAAGCTGCCCTTGATCCAGACCTGATGGCTGCAGTTAGGGGACAGTCGCAACCACACAAATGTAGTCATTTCTGCAAACAGTGTTATTGGTTGCTTAAATTCTACACAAATGGACAATCAGCAATGGGGTTGTACTTTCAAAGCAAAGGAAGTCATGATCGCGAGAAATTCATGCGTGTAATTATTCAGCCCCCATAGAGCGATCAAATGATTTGGTAAGTGACGAGCCTCCTTGTGGCTCGCATCATGGCCTTTGGTGTGGCTGAATGGGTCCTTAGGAGGTCACCCCCCTTAGACTTGGCGGTTCCTGCTCATAACCCTACACTTTTGACTTTCTCGGAGATGCGTGCAGATCGCAAGGACCGTAGATCTGTCGGCTTTGCCAGTAAACCTGCAAAAGGGCTAACAACCTTTTACTTGGGAAAAGCAATCCAGAACTTGTTCCTGGGAATGCCAGACTTTGACCATAGCGTGGATAGACGTCCTCCATTTCGCACCACCATTCAGAAACCCTGGTTTCTGATGACTCCTCTGTAAATACCAACAAACCTTATGGTTTCAACCATGGTTTCATTTCGTGGTCAAAGCGGACTTCGATCCCACAGTATCTCACCATTCCAGATGCCGGGCTGGGGCTGATCATTGCGGACACCCACAACCACCGGGTCCAGCGTGGCGCTCGTTTTTTTGGGAGCGGCGCGACGGTTTTTAGGAGCGCGTCTTCGTTGGCGAAACTGGCTGCCCCAGGTGCCCGTTCCTATTTTGGGTTCAAAGGGAAAGCACAGATAATTTAGGTTCATGACTACTCTGTCAGGGAGGATTCTGCTGGTATCACAGAAGACAGCGCTCTCAAAACCTCATCTACCCCAACTAGAGGCGCCCCCAATCCCACCCCCACGCAGATATGTGGTGCGCGGGGAGTCTAGGGCGGGGGAGGGGAGGGACCCAGACACTCTTTCTTGATCAGGGCATCCCCACCCCCCAAATGTAGAGGGAGGGTTGTTCGCTTCCATGAATCATGAAGCTGCTCCTACCACCCAAACAACACCCCAACCATACCGCTCTGGCAACCGCTGCGGGCTTGCCATTAAAGCCAAAAGTCCAAGTCCATCAAGGATAGTGCTGGGAAGAGCGGGGCCAGCTGGGATCAGTTCTTGAAATACCTCGACGTCCTGCCCCTTGATTCGCGGCCAGCCTTGATTTTTCCTGGGTGCGTTGCAGCACTCGACCGGAAACGGGCAAGGGCCCAAAATGAGCGCAGCAGTGAGATTGTCAAGGCAGACCTCTGGAGCGTGGCTTCGCTGGCTCTTGGCAGGTGTTGAACAGCACCCTGTCTACTGTTATTAGGCTAGTAGGTCATGCCAAGAGTTGTTGGGCCCAGTTTGGGGTGTGAATGAAGGTGTTCCTTACAACACATTCCTGTTGCCCACCCCTGCAAAACGTGTTCTGCCTAGCAGTTGTTGAAAAGGTTCTAAATTCAATCCCTTCAAACACAGTTTGCCACTGTCGAATGTTGAACTGCGCATTCTCAACCTGAAATGAGAAGGGCGACATGAGCAAAGCTTGGTCTCAGGTTCTGCCTGTGTGCCAAGTGCCTACTCTGTGTGGATGTGTCTTAAATATGGACCCCCCAGTCAAGGGCCCCCTGTGAGCTTGCGCATCGGGGAGTTTCGCAAACTGCTCGGAAATTATGCGGGAACAACCCGAGTGGATCCCGGCACTTGCCCTTTTTGTGGAGAACTTGCCCTGATTTTGGTTGCCTCAACGTCTGAAAGAAGGCCATACATAAGTCTGAGTTTATGTTTGGGTTTTTTTTAAAGTGGGAACTAGGAGAGGGGGAATTGGAGTGTGCAGAATCCCAGCATGGGGCGACATGACTCGCATCTTTGATCCCTCTAAGGGCAAGGGAGGCTTTGATCATATTACTTGGGGTACCCTTTTCACGCTGGTGTAAAGGGAATCCACAGAAAGGAAACCATTTGTGGGTCCCATCTTGTCTAAGTCACTAGCCCTTTGGTACGTATGCTGGGAGGTCATGGGAGGAACACGAGCAATATATTAAATGTGGATTAACCCGGAGGACCGTCCTCATCAGGTGCCGTTCCCTTTTGGTAAGGACATAAATCTATTTTAGGGGTGTCTCTGACTAGGGTCCGGATTAACCCGCTCACTTGCCAGCGACTCCCCAAAACGTATCCCAGTTACCATGTGGGGGTTGATCGATATTCTAAGGCTTATGAATCCGGGGTTCCCAGTACCCTTAAGGGGTTATCCATGTTGATCAACGTTCTAAGGCTTCTGAATTCATTTTTGGGTTCCCAGTACCCAAAAATGGGGTCATGACCTTGACTGCTATTGGGTTGGATCTTTAGACTTTAACTTTTTGGTTGACGTTTATTGGTGGTTTCCACTAAACCCCCCAAAAAGCTGAAACACTTGTTGGGGTCAACAGCAACCATTTGTAGAGGAATCTCCTCTTTTGACATGGACCCCCTTTTTGGTTCCCTTCCGTTCATTTGTAGCGGAGCATACAATGGTATTCAATACAATCAGGATTAAATAATCTACCTTTTTTTCTTGCAATTCTTCTCCCACCCCAAAAAATGGGGTCATGACCTGTTTGGGTCATGGAGGCTGGTAGTTTGAGGGGATCTGCCAGTCGATCCTCCCAGGTTCTGGGCGCCAGGCGCCTCAGAAGGCATCACCTTGGTGGGCGGCCCCGGCTTCGGCGCGCCGGGCTACGATGGCCCTGGGGAGCGCGGACGCCCAGAAACGGATATATATATATATATATAAACACACATATAGATATATATATATAGATAGACATATATATAGACAAACATTTACACATTATATACATATATCAACATGCCGGGGCGGCTTGCAGCCGTCCGGTTCCTTAGTTTTTTGTTTTGTTCTCTTCTTTTTTTGGGTTTAGTGGGGGTTTCGAATTCGCCCACTAAAATTTAGTCACTTTTAGCAGGGGATCTGAGGACCGCAGCAAACTAGGGGAAACCGCCAACCAGCACAGTACCAACGGGATCAATGTTGGACATGGCTGAAAAAAGGGGCTGTTGCTGGGGGTGTCAACTTGCGTAATGCAGGGTTTTGCGCGGTATTTAAGGGAAGGGTGCAGTAATTGATCCCGAATAATTCCCGGAAACCACTTCTTGACCACCCTGGGACATTTCTGACCTACGGAGACCAACCGAAGTAAGAATCAAAAACTGTGAAATCTGGCAACACCTGTGTAAATGGTTACGCGTTCATCAATTGAGAAAGGCGTCGGCATGGAAGCCCCACAAGAGCCAATTCGGTGCCCCCTGGAACAATGCACTGATGGAGGGTATGTGTAACGAGTTACGATTGTCACAATAAGTATCCAAAGTTTCACCGAAACGATGCAAAATGCAAAGCAATTGAATTCTGGATAGTGAGGGCACATGAGCACTTGCCCGCAGGAACCATGCAAATTCCAGCAGTGCACTTTCAACATGTGTTGTATGCAAAGGCCACCTAAAAGGGTAAACCAGGGGCCAACAAACCCGTTTAACCGGGTTTTGGAAGGTGTGTGAGCTTTGGGATGGTTCCCGGGTTTGTCCGATGCCGAGGCTAGAATTCCCCACGGGCCTCGCGATGGACGAGGCAAGGAATCGGCTGTGGGCGTGTCTTGGAGTTGCGGCCGGCTCGTCCTGATGCATTCTCCTCAACCTTGATGGTGACATAGGTAGGGAATGAGGGAAGGAACCCAGGGGTCCGCTAAAGGAAACCACCAGTTGGATGGTTTATAGAGTTCATTCCCTCATTGCCTGCTGAGCACCACCAATCAACTGTTGAGACAGGTTGAGACTCATTTGGCCATACTTGGCCTCAAGCTTTACCCCAAACCTTTCGCCCTAACAAGTGATCGCCTACTGTAAGCCCAAACCCGCTTGCTCAGTACCTGCCCCTACAAGTACGGTACTTAAACATCTCTTTTGCAAATGACTTTTGACTGCACAAAAGGTTCCCTTGTGGCTGAGGGCGGCCGGCCTTTGTACAGTCGCTTAGCTGAGGGCAATGATGGCAGGGATGGCCCCAGGAGATCATTGGCAACTTTACGACCAGGGAGGCTCTGTTGAAAAAAGGGTACAAGGTGGAGCTAAGCAGGGAACAAAGAAAGGAGCCCACCCCTTGCACCATGTAGGCCTCCCGGGAAGCTCGGTGGAACATGTGCAGGCCGCAGGCCTGGAGGTACAGAGTCTATCTCATACCATGTTCAGCCGCTCGTCGCCCCTGGTCGATAGACCAGCGCCGTGGTGCTCAGGGCACTGCCCTTTAGCACTTGTTGCCAGGCCAAAGGCTTATCTGTGCTTTTCCTTCATGTCCTTTGTACACTAACAAACGTGTGACGTTTTGCAGCGGTTTCCAAGTCTGGCCTAGTTGCAAACCACTTACTAGTTATCCACTTACACAGTTCACCGCGTCCGACCGTGTCCTTCCTTCCTTCCTTCCTTCCTTCCTTCCTTCCTTCCTTCCTTCCTTCCTTCCTTCCTTCCTTCCTTCCTTCCTTCCTTCCTTATTTCCTTCCTTCCTTCCTTCCTTCCTTCCTTCCTTCCTTCCTTCCTTATTTCCTTCCTTCCTTCCTTCCTTCCTTCCTTCCTTCCTTCCTTCCTTCCTTATTTCCTTCCTTCCTTCCTTCCTTCCTTCCTTCCTTCCTTCCTTCCTTCCTTCCTTCCTTCCTTCCTTCCTTCCTTCCTTCCTTCCTTCCTTCGTCCCGACTTTTACAGTTGGTTACAATCCCAATTGTTTGGTCAGAGCAGGCCAACACGTCTTCATGGAGGCCGAACAGCCCAGATCTTCAGTCGCCAGGTTGCTCGTCGCTCGCTCCGGCTCCTGGAATGGCCAGGTCCGGGGTTTCCTGTTCGTGGCCGACACCGGGCACCACCGGGTAGTGCGCAAGCCTCAGGTCGTTTTCCAGTTTTGGGGCCTATCTGGAGCCTCAGCCAACAACAGGTAACACTTCACAATGGACCCCAAGAGCTGCAAAGCCGCCCTGCAAACCATTCATGTTTAGGGTCCAAAGTCCAGTTGGCCATGGATTTTGATGGGGATACATGTGTATATATATATAGATTATAGCCCCCCATTGAGCAGTCCCTTGAAATTCATTTGGACCCAAACACCCCAGGGGCCAGCCCTTTATCCCCTTGGAACTCCACTCGACGTTCCTCCAATTTTGGTGAGGCGCTACCCAATCGACCTGGCGGCGATGAGCCTCGGCGCTGGCATCACGGCCAGGTGCCTTAGGATCGAGTGAAGTGGCCCAAGTCACTGGGGGCCGTTGCCAAAGCGGCAGTTGATCCATTTGCGGGTTTCCCATGTTCATGGTTGTCGTTGGGAAACATTTTGCTTATTTTTGCTTATTGTGGTTCAGTGGTTGAAATCCAACCACTTAACTGCTAAAATTTTGATTTTTGCTCCCCTTCCAACGTCAACCAAGTGTTGGGTACCCATCTTTTGCTTAGAGCTGGCAAAAGGTGAAGCTTTTGTTTCACTGGGGATCTCCTCCAAGTTTGTTTTTGCGCACGTGCCAAGGCCGGGCCGTTGCACCTTTTGGTATTCCCCATGTTGGGGTCCCATGCTTAGCTTAAAGGTGGCAAAAGGTGAAGCTCTTTGTTGTGAGTCCGTTGGCCAACTGAGCTTGGCCTCCATTTGCTTAAGAATATGTGGTTTATTTCCCCCTGTTGGTTTTCTTGGGAATCTATCACTACTGGAAATATGTTGTTTGTTTGCACTTAAGCAAATGGAAGTTGGCTGTGTCTTTGTGCGTTGAGCCTCCCAATTGTTTTGCTCTAGTTTTCCTTTCGGTTTCCATTTAAAAGGGGCGTCAAGCCTCAAAAAAGGCACCGCCCCATGCTCCTTGGGTGGTTCCCTGGTTACAGGGAAATGGAATCTGGGGTGGACCGAGCAAGCAAAAATTGAAAGTTTGTTTTTTTTTTGCTGAGATGAATGTATGCCGCTTTTTTATTGGCATTTAAGGGAATCTGTCACTACTGTAGCTGGTAGCGTGTGCGGTCCTATCAACTTCATCGACATTTGCTTTGGCAGGGGCATGAGAGAATGCCCATGAACAAGTCCTTGTTTGGGTCCGTCAAACCTGTTTTGTATCTCAGGGTAGACTAAACATGATGCAGAATCAATAAGCCTCATTTTCTGTGCTTTTGTTCCGAAACCCAAAAAAGTGCATTGCATATGAGCAACTTCCAAAAACGATTCCAACAATGCCAGTTTGGTACGTGGTTACTTGGTTTATAGGGAGTTATCGTCAGTAGAGCCTTTTACCGTGTCAGCAGAACCAAAAGTCAGCTCTACGTGGGTTTGGGCAGCCCATGACCGCAAGCCACGGAAAGAGTTTGACACATGTGTGCCATGAGCAAAATACACCTGGCTGATGGGCGTCCACTCGGGCCACCGATTTGCAGCCAAGCAGAAGGTGTTTTCTTGGCGATTCGCCATAGAGTCCCTCAGACTTTGAGAATAGCTTTTAGAGGGGTTCATGACATATCCTACAAAAAGTCTACCCTTCCTCCCAGCAACATGGGGGGTTTACTTTTAGAAAGGGACTTATGAACAACGAAGTAAGTTCCGGACCTAAAGGTCCATTTTTTAGAATCCCCGCCGGGGGCCAAAACAGGAACCTACTGTGTTCGATTTGCCAAGAAAAGTGTGTTGTTGGTGACCTAGGTCATGACCTACTGTTGAGTCCCCCGTTCAGTGAGGAAAACCTTGTCGTTAGCCTGGTTATTACGGGGTTATAGCCTAAGTGGCTAACCATCTAACTTGGCCGAAGTAGCATGAAGGGCTGACGCCAGACGCTCGCTCGCGGTTGGGTGTTGGGCCTTGCTTTTCCGGCTGAAGGAACCATCGTATATCCCGGTTCCTTGGCAATTATAGGCAGTGTTTTGGGGCATGGTCATCAACTTTACACTTTTACTCACTCTTTGAGTTGTTGAACTTCATATTTTTTGGGGGGGACCAAAAAGAGGTCAACAACAAGTTTGGACTTTGTTTGACCAATCCACTCAGGAAGTGAGTTTAAACAATCATAAAGGCTTCTATTAAGGTCACCATGACCATGGTCCACAAAAGCTCCGCTTCTGGCTGGTTCCCCCATGGATTTTCTTTAAAACTACCCCGTAAAAGGGACACAGCTCCATAAAGGACACACACATATACACATGGGCCGATTTATTGTACATTACGGAAGAAGTTCGTCCTCGCTGATGAAATCTCTAGAGCACAAGATGACAATCTCATCAGAGCTCCGGGGTGACATTGCCATATCCTCAAACCTTGTGTCTCAAAGCAAGATATGCCCCCCCCCCCCCCTCCGCAAAACAAAAGACAAGAAAAAGGAGCTACAAAAGCAAACAAGTATGTGGCTTCCCTCTACCGTCCCTTCAAACAAACCCAACAAAGGGTCCCGGGATGTGACATGCCATCACGTGCCCAGTATACTCGCCTAGGTGGCAGGCACTTCGAACGTGCCACGAACTCAGAGTAAAACGTGCGGACCGGCTGCTCACAATCAACGATATGGAGTGAAGAGCAAAGTTGTGCTAAGATGCCAGCAGTTGGGTGCGCATTGTGATTTGATTCTTTACATATTGGGTCGACTGCTTTACCAGGCTGTGCGACTCAGATAGGGCAGCGGTTTGACTCTGTGCGTTTCTTCGGAGCTTGGTCGCTCTTTGGGGTGGATGTGAAGGGCATCCCCCAAATGACCTGTTTTGCCCCCGTCCAAAACCGACTGTCCGAAAATTTGTCGTTGGGTTGCATTGCGCAGCCTTCCAGACGCCTTGCAGTAAGGTTCAGCAATCGAGGGTCCCTTTGAGATGTAGCTGACCCCTGGAGCCCAAATGCTTGGCGGTACTCTTCCATTTGCTGAAACTCATATGTTTGCAGTGTTTCTCATGTTGGTTTGAAAAGGGGATCTATCACTACCCAGCAACTTGCCTGCTTGTTCAACCATGCAACCAAAATCCCCGATGTGCGTCATGTACGCGGTCCAAAAAGCAGTGGTAGGGAGCCGAGTGCTGGAATGATTCTGATATTATCCCAGGGGACGTATTCGCAAATGGCCCGACCCTTGCCCAGACAATCCATGTATTTACCATCAAAATGGGACAGTTCTGTTGGTATAATATACTACCTACCTGGACCTTCAAACTCCTGGAAATTTCTGGGTGTTTTAGGAGACCCCTACAATTTACCGAATTCCAGTGGTTTAGCTACAAATTGGGCAAAAACAGGAGGACGAAGGTCCAGGTACGTGGATTGCTTGGGTTGGGGTATAAAAGTTTGGGAACTTCGAGCCGCTTCGAGTCGAACGAGTCCGACACGAGTGTATTTTTTCATTCATTTGGCGAGCTTCTGGCTGCTTTGGGTTGGGTTGAGAATGGGTTTAGGTGGCTGCAAAAGTTGATAAAGTGTGGGTTGAAGGTTTGCTTCGCGTAACAAAAAGGGTTTTGGGGAAAGAGGGATTGGTTCAGGGCTGATTGAGTATGTATGGTTGCTTTGGTGTGGATTTAGGGTGGGCTTACGGTGAAAATAAACACCTCAAGGTTCATTCTATGTGCCATTAGGGTTTAGTGTTGCGCCACGGGAAGATGTTAGAGCGAGCCTTTCGCCTTGCGAACCCAGGTCGGGCAGCGCGGGGAGTTTGCTCGACAACCCCACGGCCATCGCGTACCGGAACGACCGGCTCTACGTGGCGGACGCCAGGAGAGCGCGAGCGAGACGCGAACAACGCGCGCGGCGTGCGCACGCCTTGTGGGAAGGCAGCTGCCAGACTTTTTTGCAACTCGCACTCTGAGTTGCTGGATACCTTTTGGGGCTTGGACCATTTTAGTGGCAAGACACAGGTATAAACTTGGCTTAATCCCCTGAGGAAGTGAGTCAATGGCCTCTGTGCCCTGGGGTTCCTTCATTTACTTTATTGTAATCAGCGAGTGAAGTCCACCCTCGAAGAGCTTTTTGCGTGAGGCTTCGCGCCACGCAACTCGGCTCAGGCCCAAGCATCAGCTTGCCGACGAAAGGCGGTTGGGGTGGCCTCTACGCCTTAATCAAAAGAAGTTGGTTTGCACAATGGTTTGCACAGTTCTAAGGGTTGATTCCAACCATTCTTTTCAACCATCGTTCTTTCCAAAAATTGGCCGTTTCGCTGGGTTTCCGGAGGTTTTCTAGAAAGAAGGATCCCTGGAAAGAATGGGGAAGGTAGCACTAGAACAGTGCTTCAAATTACCATACCAAGGGAAGGCATCATGAAGCTCAAGCCAGTTACTTACACTGGCTGGCTGGCAACTGGGATCTAGTGGTTTAAACATACGTAGAACCAGTTGGGTATGTGTCAAAACAAGGGAAGCCGTAAAATGTATGGTTTCCTTTGGTTTCCTTTTGAACCAGGCCGAAAGGGTGCCCTCAACACGAACACACCCAGTTGAATCGCCCAATGGTTCTCACCTGTTACCCCTGGAGGAATAGCCGAGTGATGACCTGGCTGGTGCGCCCAGAATTGGTGGATGCCGAAGTCTCCGCCAGGCAGAACGGCGACTTGAGCAGCACCCCCTTATAAATGGAATTGGGGTGGCGGACACCTGGCATTCCATTTAAAAGGTTCCATTTTTCCCTCTGTGGACAAGGCAAAATGTGTTTGGGGCACCCCCCAACCCCCCTCACCTGTAAGGCAGGGGAACTACTTGAGCGACTTGAACGGTCATTTGTACTTGTACACCGTCCATTTGCTGACATGGATATGAGTATGTTTTGTATTTTCCCCTGTTGGTTTTAAAGGACATCTATCACTGAGGGAAGTATTTTTCCAGGGGACTCAAGCAAATGAGTTCTCCTCCAGATTTATACTTGAACCTTCATTTGCAGTACTTGCACACCTTCCATTTGCTGACATGGATATGAGTATGTTTTGTATTTTTCCCTGTTGGTTTTAAAGGACATCTATCACTACGGGAATTATTTTTCCAGGGGACTCAAGCAAATGGGTTCTCCTCCAGATTTATACTTGAACGGTCATTTGCAGTACTTGCACACCTTCCATTTGCTGACATGGATATGAGTATGTTTGTATTTCCCCTGTTGGTTTTAAAGGACTTCTATCACTGGACGTATTGTTCCAGATGACTCAAGCAAATGGGTTCTCCTCCAGATTTATACTTTAACGGTCATTTGTAGTACTTGTACACCGTCCATTTGATGATATGGATATGAGTATGTTTTGTATTTCCCCTGTTGGTGGACATCTATCACTACTGGACGTATTTTTCCAGGGGACTCAAGCAAATGAGTTCTCCTCCAGATTTATACTTGAACGGTCATTTGTAGTACTTGTACACCGTCCGTTTAATGACATGGATATGAGGAATGAGTATGTGTGTATTTCCCCTGTTGGTTTTAAAGGACGTCTATCACTACTGGACGTATTGTTCCAGGGGGCTCAAGCAAATGGGTTCTCCTCCAGATTTATGTTGCATCTTCGGATACATAGACTAAATATGAAGTAACATCCGCCAGCCCCCCCCAACTTGCCTGCTTTTTACCATGTTCAATATCCCGAGGGTGCTGGCAAAAGTTTGTTTGTGGGCCAACGGCGATGGTCACGGCACGTTCTCGCGAAAATTCCATTCGGAACTGCCTCAAATCCAATCTCGTCGGGTCCCAGTGCTTTCAGCCTCCACGGTTTGGTGCCCCAAAGAAATTGCTGGTGCTATAGGTAGGCAATGAGGGAATGAGCCTGGGGATTCCCTGAAAGGAAGCCACAAGAGATGGTTTAGCCAGCAAGAGACTGCGAGTACGGATTCTGAGCCTGATATTCCCTGGCTTCGTGGTCGAGCATGGTCGGTTCTTTTGATTTTTTCGGGGCATCCACTGTACCTCCAAAGCCCATGCCTCAAAACAGTGTTGAATACTGTTGCGTGACAGTCGACATTTACTTCCATTTGGTTAAGAATATGTTTTTATTTTCCCCTGTTGGCTTTAAAGGGAATCTATCAGCTGGAAATATGTGATTTTTTTTTCCCGGGGACTTAGGCAAATGGAGGTTTACACAATTCGCAACTCCCCATGGATCGCTGCCCGCAGGCGGCTATCATCAATAGATGACTTCGACGACAACGAGACGTCGGATGTCAATGCTAGTCACTTGCCGCCAAGGTGCAAAAGTCCTACTTACCCCCCCGAAAAGGAAGTCTTCGCTGTCTCTTGCTACCTGACAGATTCGGGGAGTGCGTCCCAGAGGGGCAGCTTATTTTCTGGCAAGAAGGCGTGGCGGTGCTAGCAGACATGCCCCAGAATCAATGGAACTCATAAATCATGCAGGGTTTCTACAGGGCGCCTGCCCCCGGACATTAGATGGCTGGTGGGGAATGTTCATGGTACTTCCTGAGCTGTTGGCCTCTGAGCGTTTTTTCTTTGAGGGGAGAGGACCGCGCGCTTTCGTGGCGGTGAATGAAATTCAAGAGGGAGCCACCTCAAGAGTGGTTGGTGGTTGGTGGGATTCATGAATCCCCACCTAAATGATGTCCACCAGTTCGGGTCCCTGATTAAGATTCACGCCCAGGTGAACGACAGCTTCGGCTTTTTTGTTTGTCCATCCACACAGGAAATGAGTCGTTTCGGGTAAGGACCTTCGAGCTAAGGGCTATCTACGGCCCCCCTGTGTCTCTGGATGGTAATTATTCGACGGAACTCCCCCATGTTGGAGCAGTTCCAGTACTCCCAGAACTGGTTTGATCCAGCACTGGCAGATCGCCCATTCTATTTAGAGGATCTGAAAAAAAACGAAGCTCACATGTCTATGGTTCACCGCTGTGTCTTGCACCTTTGTTTTTTTTTGAGCAACCTCCGGCCAGATGAAAGGTAAACGGCGCCAGGCTGCCCACGTTGAAGTCGGTGAACTCCTCCGAACTCCAAAATGGGTCTGGTCCATGTTAGTCTTGCGTCGTTTTAGGGAATTCCAGTCTTGGGCCCACGTTGAAGGCGTTCCTCTTCCGAACTTCTGAGGGTCTGGTACATTTGTTTTGGTCTTGCGTCGTTTTAGGGAATCCTAATTTGGGGTGGTCCAAGGCGCAGGGGCTTTCTAAGGCTTTTTAAGGAAGTCTGCATAAGCTTAAGGAACCCTCGAGCGGTCTCAACTACCCACCCCCTGTAGGGATGCCATAATCTCGGGCCGCCCTGTTTATCCTTGTAGTTCCTTTTTGCTTGTTTTCCTGTGGGACAATTGCGGCAGAGAGAAATGCAGAACTTGTTGCAGGGGCCCCATTGACGAGACGCCAATGTCATGGGTCCCGATTCAACCCGCCCACGTCTGCGTGTCTACCCTAACAAGCCCTCTTTCAGGTCTGTGGCGGACAACAGGAGGGGGTGCGCGGGTGCGGATTGAATCATACCTCACTCCCTGAGCTACTGAGCTTTATACGTCATTGTTGTTGGGAAGACCAGCCTAGTGGTCAACAGAAAGTTTGGACTTTTTCTGACCATTCCACTCAGGAAGTGAGATGCTGACGGACAAACTCCTGCACTTGGGAACCCCTATGAATACTGAGATTGACAACCTGCCGACTGGTGCAGCATGAGGTCCATCGACAGTGTAACATGGGGGAGGATGACTAGGTCGACGGGGCGGTCCAAGGTACGACCAGTGCAACGCAAACGTCCACCACCACCCGCAGCACCAGTACCATCACTACCATCACGGTCACGACTACCACTACATACACAGGCGGGTTGGGGGGGGGGTTGGAGTGGGGTTGGTGGGTTGGGGAGAGTGCAGGGTGGCTTGGGGTAGGGATTGACTTTGAATATGGTTTGGAAGCTGAGTAAATTATTGGGAGGGATTGAACAGCGCAACCATTCACTTGCCCAAACCCGAATTTGGTCCATTTTTTGTCATGGCCCCAAAGCTTCGCCTTTATTTCTGGGTCCTTTGGGCCAGCGACCACGTTTTTCCCCATTCCCTTGCTGCGAAGGGCATGAAGGGACCCGCTGCGCGCTTCTCGCAGAGATGAGTTTAAAGCTTAAAACCATTGCCTAGGTCCCCAGCTAGGTGCCCTTTTTAGCCCCTTTTTTGGCTGCGAGGGTTCCCACTGTTTAAAATAGACAACAGAAACAAAAAGTTGGTACCCTTATTCTAACCTCTCTACTGGAGGACCTAGTTGCTGGCCTCTTTGACGTCGCACTGAGGCGACGCCCCCCAGAAGAATGTGTTATTGTATGGACGGGCGTCCCATGCAGTTCCTGTTTTTGGATCAGGGAAATCACATGCGGGCTTGATACGAGTCTTCACCAGAACATGGCTGCCTCGTCTGAAACCAAAGTGCGCATCTACTTGCTGGCTTCGGACGTTCGTCCATGAGTTGTCCCACCAATTTCTTGCGGCGTGGCATCACAGAGACGGTTTCCGAAAGCCTGTCAAGGCCTCCAACAGAAGCTTTTGCCGTCTTGCTGGTGCTCAGTGGGGAATGAGGGGATGAACCTGGGGCTTCCCTGGAAGGAAGCCACCAGTTGGATGGCGTTGCTCGGGGATATTCCATTTCTCATTCGTTTGCCTGTCACATTTTGGCGCACCCCTGAGTTGGGCCAAGTTATGTGGCATTGCCTTTCAGATTGAGCCCTTCTAGGTCCCCCAGCCAGTCGTGCCCTTTTTCTCACCCCTTTTTTAGTTGGGAGGGTTCCCCGTGTCTAAAATGGACTTAAACACAAAAAAGAAAAGAAGAAAAAAACGGTACCCTTATTCTAACCTCTCAAATCTGGAGGACCTAGCCTTGGTTGATTTGGGGCTGCAGCCCAGCTCCAGAGAAGAAAGAGCCCGGGCAGCAGAGGCCCTCGCTACATGCTGGAGATGGACGGATTCCAAGGGCGGCCCTACGGCGTAGTGGCAGCCGAGGCGCAAAACGAAAGTTCCACAGCGGGCCGCGACCGTTTCAATGGAAACCCCAGCAGTACTTCGATTCGAAAGCTGGTTCCTGACCATCCTAGTTCCCACCCGCAGTAAGAACCCAGTGACCTAGTTAAATGTTCAATGTGCTTCTAGGTACCAGGTAAACTTACTTGGTTTTGCCATGGTTTCTTCTGGTTAGCTACTGTAGTGGCAACTGGAAGCACTGAAGCCAGTCAAATCGTTAGGGAAGACCCTTTCAACCCCTGTTTGCACCCATTCTCTTTAGACACACAATCAGTATCAACCTGGAGTCTCCATGACCCTTGAAAAATGGGGTCATGACCCCATTATTTTGGGTACTGACCACATTTTTAAAGGGTCATGGAGACTCCAGGAAGTTGCTGTTTTGGTTTCCGCCCGTACGAGAAGGAGTTTCATGGAAGATACAGCGAGCGGGCTGGCCGATTTCCGCGGGTTTTCACATCTTTTGAGAGGGATACGTGAAGGGAATGGGGGTAGAGCTAGAACCAGGGTTGTGATCAAGGGGTTTCTCCAACCACTTCTGTGATACTTTTGGGAATCCCCTTTTTAAATGGCGGGGTAGTCTTTGGGGGACCCTTTTTGTTGTATCACAGAAGTGGATTCCATTTCCCACAGCCCTGGCTAGAACTGCCAGATCCCGAGCTCTGTTTGGTTCTGGAGACCGCGAGGAGAAGAGAAATATGGACCGGACTCTGAAAGTATTATTTGGGGCCCAGACCAGGACCCTCACAATGAGGAGCACTGGAATCCGATTTGAGTCAGTCACCACTACCTGAGGTTGGCACGGGCAGTTGCCACTGCCCAGGTGCAGCCAAATAGAAAGAAAGAAGTGCGTGTATATCAACGCTGGCTGAACCCTGTACGTGCTGAACCCTCTACGAGGATGACCTCACTTCTTTTTGTGGAGTGGGTGTTTGCACCCGTTGGAACATAGCTGCCATGTTCATGACACGTGAAATCTCGTGAATATGAGTTTCTCTCCAAATTGAGGCCCCAACATGCATGGTTTCCCGTTTGTTTCTCTTTTTGAAGCTGCCATCATGCAAGAAGGTACCGCCAGGAGAATGCCACCACGAGGGTAAACAACCAAGAGGAAACAATTCCACAATAGGGTGCTTCCAAGGACAGCCTGCAACCACCAACGTTGGAAAACAAGCAGGGTCTGCTCTGAAATCCAGCGCTTTGAAGTAATTAGAGCCACGCTTTGCCATGGTCGATGCCTTACTGACTCGGAGTCATTGCAGCCAGGAAAAGTGACGGTTGTCTGTGTTTTTGTTTGTGTCTTTGTCTATGTTTTTATTTGTGTCTTTGTCTATGTTTTTGTTTGTGCTTGTGTCTGTGTTTTTGTTGTGCTTGTGTCTGTGTTTTTGTTTGTGCTTGTGTCTGTGTTTGCATGTGTGTGTGTGTGTGTTTTGTGTGGCCATGGACTCTTTGAGCGCTTCAAAACCAAGTGGACTGCCCTTTTTGGCGGCCGGGGACCCATTTGGATGGCCAGGATAGCATCTACGTGGCGGACGCCGACGGGTGCATGGTGTGGAAGAAGCTCTACACTGGGGAGAAGTCCGTGGTGGTAGGCAAGTCAGAGATATGGCCGTGGCTCAAAACCGTTTGGATCCCATTTTGGTTGGTAGATGAATTTACCCTTTTTAGACCTATTTTAGTGGGATTTTAGAACCTAATTCACCCAAAAATACAGAGCCAGGGTTACGCAGGTTTTAGTCTTTGGTTCCATTTGCCAAGGTGCCATTTTGGTGCATGTTTTTGGCCCGCAGCCATATAGAAGTCGCGGGTTTTCAACGTACTGTGGATGGACAAAATCCGTTAGCACCACGAAATAAAAGCATGGGAAACCATACAGGGGAAAATCATTCCAGGGTTTCTGAACGGTGACGCGAAATGGTTTTTGTGGGGTAAGTGAGGGCAAGGGACTGTTCTCGCCGCAAATCGGTGCGCACGTCCGCATTCTTTACGAGATTTTGGGTGGACTGTAGACATGTTAGGTTTGATTGCGATCCAAGAGAGAGCAACGTCAACATTCACTGACCAACATGCCATTATAAATTAGGATATGGGGTTACTCATCTTGCCAGTTAGAGACAGGCTGAACACTGGCCAAAGTTTAAGTTCTCACTTCCTGAGATCCTGGACTTTGTGCTTTTTGGTCAGACTATTTTAGTGTTAAATAAGAATTTCAGACTTTCTTGGGCCAATCCGCTCGATCGGAAGTGAATCTGGGTTCCTCCACTGGCTTTCTGGTCCCCTTTCTTGGCCGCAAGCCCTGGGCCCCAGGACTGGTTTGCCCCCCGTTGAGTGGTTGCAGGTCTCGAACTGACTTCTTTGGGGTGGAGTTTCTACCCCTTCAAAGCACCAGTTTCAGGGCCGTTTCAGGATGTTGCTTTAGAACTTCCCGATTTTTGTCAGCACAGGGCAACCTCATTTTTTGTCTGGTGTTTGTGTTGGTTTTCCTTTTGAGGCAATCCTAAGAAGAACCAAACCCTGGTCGTCGGCCTTCGCCCCAAACGTCGCGTTGGGGTTACGGTGGATCGCAGGTAGCGCCTGCGGTGGATCGCTGAATCAGATCTTCTTCCCCGGGGGCATAGGCGTCGGGGAGCCCGGCGATCCGAGACCAACCGGAGCCGCCGGATGAGCTTCCCGCTCCCTGAGTTCCGTTTCGGACTTTAGTGACTTTTGGGACTGGACCATTTTAGCGCTAGCAACAAAAAGTTTGGATACCTGTTTTTTTTCCAATCCAATTGATCGGAAGTGAGTCTCTGGCTAGTCCCACTTGGGGAGATCTCTGTTTCTGCCGTGGAACTCTAGGGCCAGCGCCGGGGTTTTTGGAGACATGGTAAATTTGCAGCAATTTACTGTGTAATGTCTTGCCCAGTGATTCCAGGTAGGTAACCAAAGGGAACTACTCTTTGAGAACCAAAACTAAGCCTTAGGCCCAAAAAGGCCTTTGCAGTTGGGCCGTTTTGCTTTTGGTGGTTAGGCCAAGAATGGGCCAAAGACAATTGTGGCTTTCCCAATGTATCCCAGTTATTGTAAAAGGATACCCTTGCGCCATTGTCCTTTGAGGGTTTAAAGAGTTGTTCGTTTGGTCGCTCACTCCCTGAGTTCCTGGACTGCAAACTTTTGGAGAAGAGCGTTTTTTTTTGGCCAATCCACTCGATCGAAAGTGAGGTTGCCTCGACTGCGGGTACCTGGACCCTCAAACTACCAATGCAAAAGGGAACCCGATAACTTTAATTTTGTTACAGGGAAATTTTTGAGGGTCCAGGTAAACAGCTCACCAGCACCCCGTCAGCCCAACAGCCACCAGCCCAGCACAAACCCCAAACCCTAAACCCTACCCAACCACAAACCTTAATTTAGGAGAAGTGGAGACCAGCAGTCAAACAACCTTGACAGCCCCAGCCTGGGTTTGGGGGCTGTCTTGGCTTCGGGTGGGTCTGAGGTGGAACAGACCGGTGCCATCGTGATCGCAGACAGCCGCAACAACCGGGTGATTCGCTTCGGTCCCTGGGCGCCAAAGGTGGGGCGTGACCTCCGGAAAAAAACATAATGCCTCGGTGTGTCTTGTTTTAACTAGATCCCCCAGCTAGGTGCCCTTTCTCACCCCTTTTTTAGGGTTTTGGGTTCCCCTGCTAAAACAGACTACAGAAAAAGGTTGGTGGCCGTATTCTAACCTCTCAAATCTGGAGGACCTAGATAAGGTTGGATAGCCAAAGTAGGCTGTTGTCCTGTTGGTTTCCCTTGAAAGCCGGCAAGAAGTGGGCAGCCTTACTAAAAACAGGCGCCCTTTTGAAAGCTGGGTTCCTTTTGTAGGGGCTATCATAGGTCAGACTTGGCGGACCGGTTTTCCCATTTTGTCCAAGATGACCCACACACCACTGCGAGACGGAGCACAGGAATGGGTCCGTTGGGGGTCGGTCGGTCGAGGCTGCTTACATTCTAGGGGTACTAGTACCTTCCCCATTTTTTCCAGGGATCCTTCTTTCTAGAAAACCTCCGGAAACCCAGGACGATGGTTTAAAAGAATGGGGAATCAACCCCTAGATACATTCCCAGTTGAGGTTTGGTCAAAAGCTGAAGTCTATGACTGCCTCATTTCGGAGATGGACATGGAAAAACTCACTTAACCGGCGCAGGGGCGTGTCTATTTTTCCCCCGTGTCCTCGGTGATGGGACAAGTATGTTTGACCAGCTGAGTTAGGTTTGCCTTGAAAGGGGCCCTATGGTGGTGTTTCAAGTCAATTGCAAGTTGGATCTCCATGAGCTTGGCGCTTTGTCTCCACATAAGACCTCCGCCAAGATGCTGCCAGCTTAGGTTGCGAAGGGTATAAGTACAGATTTGGCCGTTGCTATACTGGACGCTGCGTTGCGAACTGGTGGTAGTTGGAGGTGTAGACGTGACATGTTGAAGTTATGATGATGGGGATCCTTGGTCCAAGCTATTCTATATTTCAGAGTGGACTACATCTAAAACGTATTCTGCACATGTTTTTTTTGGTGACTCCAGAAATGGGACAAGATTAATAAGAGCTGTTGTGCCCCCGATAAATAGTTCATTTCCTCCGCGCCTCCGAACCCGCCTGACACTGCCAACTTGAACTAACGTAAACACTGAATTCCAACTCCCCCGCGAGAAAAAAACACAAAAAAGACGCGCTATGCCCTTGAGCTTCTATGAGTCAGCTGCCATCTACTTGGTGGTTTGGATTGGTGGTTTGGAGGGGGTGGCCTCCGATCTACTCTCCACAAGAACCAGGGTTCAAATCCCCGAGCCAATCCAACCCACCAATTGGGGGGTGCCTGACATATATGGGTCAAAATAAATCCCCACCAGAAGGACCGCAGCCCGTTTCTGTTGTTGCCCTATCTTCCCGCATGTCTTTGACCCGCTATGAGGATGCACCTGGGGATTCCGAGGCCCAGAGCCGCTCCCATTGATCACCAAATGCACCCTGGGCGGCTTTTGCGAGGCACGGCCGTATCGCAAGCGGGAGCTGACATGGGTAATACGAACTTTAATGGGGAAGCTCACTCCCTGAAATCCGTTTCAGGCTTTCGTTACTTTTGGGTTTGGACCATGCTAGTGGTGAACAAGCTTGGGGACTTGTGTGGCACATCCACTCAGGAAGTGAGTTTAGGGACACATGACCGATTCTCCGCAAATTTTGAGGAACAAGAGCAACAGGGTGAAAAAAGTAGTTGCACAATTCCCGAAAGACGTGGGGGATTACAGTAAAGGGGATGACTGAGCCCACATGTGAGATTGTGCTACCCAGTTTCGCCCAACTGTCGTCCAGGACTCAGAAATTTCTCCCGGCAGATCCCAGGCGTTTCGCGCCCCTAGTAGGTGTACCTTCGATCCATGTTCCTTTTGGTTCCAAAAAAGGGTGGGGAAGCTCATGGCTCCGTACTAAAACCAGGTCGTTGGATGTTCGGACTTTAACTTATTTTTGCCAACGAATGGGTTTTCCATTAAACCACAAACAAAAACAACTTTTTGCAGGGGAGCAGAAAGCAACCAAGAGGTGAATGGGATGGGATCACGTCATGTTCCCCATTTTCCGCGGACTGGGAGACTTTCGATCAGGTGACGCTCCGACAGGGCCTGCCCACACGCAGGCCGGAGCGTGCCTGAGTGTATGAAGGTGGCTACTCATGAGGTGTATCTTTTCAGGGGACTACCTTTTCAGGGTGTCATTTTCATGGTTGTCGTTGGGACACATTTTGCATTTTTGCTTATTGCGGTTTAGTGGTTGAAATCCAAATCCACTTAACTGCTAAAAAAAATGCTCCCCAAACCCAACGTCAACCAAGTAATTTAGGGTACCAGCTAAGATTTTTCTCTGAGGGCGACTGACACGGAAGCTGGGCCCTTGGAATTGAAGGATTTCTACGCTGAACGTCTTAGTGGGAAAGTACCTTGGGGACTACTGGACACGGACGGACGGCGGCCTTTTGGACGACTGTCCTCGAAGGAGGTACACAGAACATAACAGACAGAAAACACAGGAGACACAGCAAACGCCACGAAAGTCAACCAGAAAACACGGCAAAAACACGGCAAACAACACAGAACAACATCATAATCTTGCGAGCGGCGGAGTCCATTCACTCTCTGCCGCGGTGAAGTGACTCCAGTGAAGAGGTATAGATGCAAAACACCTAGTGGCAAGCCCAGGCATGTGTGGGCCGTCTAAGTGTTCGCAGCTGCATAGCGGTGTATACGAATATCTGAGACCGTTGGCTACAACACAGAAACAAGACATACAACACAGAAAACACAGCAAACCCAGCAACAGGTTGGCTACAGCACACAGAACACACTGAAAAACAGCCAACACGCCGACCAACTTTGCCAAAGCTGCAAAACGGCCAACAGCCTCAGGGCTCCTTGGTGGAGCTTTGGGAAAACCCGAGTTGACTTCGCTTCACCGCGCGCTCGCGTCGAAGAGGAGTCGTCTGGCCCTGGTGAAGCGCGACGTGCGCTCGGTGTGCGGGGGCCGCTGCATCGTGTCCGGCCTGGGCGGCGGAACCTGGGCGCCTCAGCAGGAAAGACCGCAGACTGCGGGGGGGGTGGCCCCGGGAATTGTTTAGCAAATCCAAGAGACAAATCATCCAATTAGGATCTGTCCTGCAAAAGAACAGCCGTCTTTGCCTTTTCAAAACTGGTTTTCAACTTGGTTAGAAACCCTAAAGGGTCGGGGTTCCTTGGGTTTGTTTTACAGGAATCAATTTTGCTACTGGAAATATGTTCTCATTTTTGGGAACACATAACGCAAGAGGTGTTGAAACCCCAAGCCTCTCCCTGGTTTCCTAGGCCCGTGGCTTTCCTGAACTTCCTTTGTCCTGGGAAACATTCGTATCAGCACCGCGTCCTAAGATGGTTTCCGCTAACTCACCACTACCCCCACAAAGAAACATGGTTATATATATATATGGTCCCGTGTTCCGTGTTGCTACCTACCCCGCCCCCCCCCCCCCCCCCCCCCCCCCCCCATAATTATGGTATGGGTCCAACAGGAACCCCCCCCCCCCGGCCCGAGACCCCGAGCCCCCGGATCCTGGCACCTACGGTCCCACCCCCACCCCGACCCCCTGAACTCGCACCCCGACACCCCGGCACCCCCACCCCCACAACAAGCCAACCCGCAACCAACCATAAACCAACCCTAAACTAACCCTAAACCAACCCTAAATACACCCTAAACCAAACCCTAAACCGCACACCTCTAAACCTAAACCAACCCTAAACCAACCACAGGATCACAACCACAGGGGGGGTACTTGTCTGACCCATGACCATTGGGGGGGGTGGGGGGGCTGGCAACGCTGTACCATATATACCTTTTGCATCGTGGCCACAACCACCACCCAGAACCAAGACGAAAGAGGGACACTGATATTTTCGCGGTTGCCAGGAAGAGGCTGTTGCCGCCAGGTCTTGGCCAAGTTTCAGCCTGGTTGCCTGGGCCGAGCATCCGAGGTGAGCGTTCCGGCCTCCGAGCCGCCCTACTTGAGCGTGATGACCTACAAGTTCGGGGTGGCCGGCTACGGCGAGACCATGCGATGCTCGGATTTGTGAGTTCGCTCAAGGAGGTGACAGTAGAAGTTGTTCACTTTTTGAGATTTGGACTTGGACACTTTTTGGGTTTGGACCATTTTTGCGGAGAAGGGTTCCTCGCTATGTTCACCCAGCGTTCCTTTTAGAAACTCCACATAATTTTACCGTTTGGCCCTAATATAAGAGAAGGATCCCTGAACAGAATGAGGAAGGTGCAGCTAGAGTTGTGGACAGAAATTGCTCTCTCCCTTGAGATTAGGGTTTTGAAACTCTTTGGGTTTGGACCGTTGTAGTGGTAGACGCCACGTTTGGACTTTTTGGTCAGCCCTCGGATGTGAGTCTCAGCACCAACTTCTGTGATACCAAGGGAGCGTATGCCCCTTATTGGTATCACAGAAAGGGTGATCCTCCGGAATGAACTAGACTTCCAGGACGATCCGACCAAGGTTACTAGCCCACACTCCAAATGGCCTGTTTCGTGAAATTGGGGCATTTGACATATCCTAGGAGGTATAGGACCTCTCGTTCTGTGCTAGTTGTGCGCAATTGTTTTTTGTGCTTGTGGCGTAGTTTTCCGGGCCTGCGACAGATTATGCCAGTATAACAATGACAGAGACACAACCTCGCACGCAAATCTGCGTATGACCCAGGCAGGACTTCGCACGCAGATCATCCCAGATTGTATTGGTGTGCCAGCACCTTCTTAGAAGGGTATTCATGTCCGATGTGACCTAGACTAGCACACGAAATTAGAGGTTGCCACTGCCAGCTTGAGACTTGCTTCTTCCGATGTCTACATTGTCCCATTCCAAGTGACGCTCGTTTCAGTCCCTGGGAAAGTACACAACCAGGGACCATGCGGTTTGCTGTTGGCTCTGAGCTTTGTCAGGGGCAGGGCAATCATCATGTATATCTAGTGATGATTGGAAAGCGCCGGGAGAAACATTTAATCTTTGTTCAAAACTCAACTCATGTCAGTGGTGTCCCTTTTTTCTCTTGTAGTAGTGGTGTCTCACGAGGGATTGCAGAGTATCCCTAGCCATTTTGAGCGACCTTCGCCATGCTTGGAGAGCAACTCGCCCAGGGGCCCTGCCTTCACCATTCTGGTTTCTAAAGAAAAAAAGCAGTGAAGAGAATGGGGAATCAATCCATGGATATCTAGCTTCATGGCTAGCGACACAACTGCCAGCCAGCTGTTTCGGCTTGAGCTGGCCAGCTCAAACTTGATTCAAGCTTCTCCTTCAGGAATTTAGATTGGTGAATCATGGTCATTGCTGCATATTGACCTACCAGACTTGAATCCGCCTAAGAAACGAGAAGAACCTTCTCGAAGACTTGCAGTGCACGAAAGGGATGCCGTTGCAACCCTTCCGAGCCTTGCGGTTGGTTTATCTCACATTCATCTTGCTGCACCAGCGGTAAGCCTGGCCAATCCGTGCAGACAGCTCGTGCGGGATTCGTGTGTGTCCAGTTCTGAAGGGCGCGGCATGTCGGCTTCTACGGTTTTTGTTTAGACCTGACACAGTCGTGGGGGCGGGGTTACCAACAGTTTGAACCACCAACTTGCTCACCTTTATTGCTAGTTGGCAGCGGATCTCTGGGCTAAAAACTTGTTGGCTGAAACGGATTCGGATTTTTGGTGTGGGAACTACAGGTTATTCGTGTTTTTTCAGCGTGTTCGCTGCAGCAACCAAGCCACACTTCAGCTGCCGGCGCCATGCCGCTGGCGCCGCTGCTCAGCGCGGTGTGCCATGTGGCACCCTGCCCGACAGCGTCGATCTCAGCGGCGGATTCGTGTCACGGGCGCGAGGATTGGTTCGGATCTCAGACAATCCAACCACAATATACATACATAAAGCCGCAGTGTTTGTTTGAGCACCTGTTTGAGGCAGAGCAACATGGGAGGCGACCATATTATATTTATACTATATATAGAGAGATATTCAACGTTTGACCCATTTCGGTCGTAAATGTGGGTCCATTATATTACCTAAAATATTGTTTGGGGATATTGGGGCCCTACTCTCGAGCAAAACAAAACAACCGCAAACGACCTAGGCCGTTTTGCTTCAACATCCCCTTCGGTCGTTGGACCACATGGCCTCACATCTGGGTCAGAAAATATGGCACCTGACCCTGAACAAGGTCTCGTGGGGGACACATGTCATGTCTGGACTGGGATCATATTGACACAGTCCGAAACCCGAAACCCGCAACGGGTGGTGTAGGGGTCCTGATCCATGGATCTCGTAACTCGCAACTCAGGAGGAAACAGCGCCCTTTCGCTGCCACTGGCCGAGCTTCTTTTTGGGGTGCTGTTCTTGGCGTTCAGCAAAAATGCGAATGAAGCTTGTCTCGAATTGTTGGGGCGCGAAAAAATGGTTGGCTGGTTTTTTGGCTTTCCAGAATGGAACCTCTTGGATGTCCAATCTACTTTGTATAGGTCATAACCAGGTCAACCAACCCTAGTTCCACTAACTCACAACCATGGTTGTCTTCCATTTGCTTAAGAATATGTCGTATTTTCCAATGTTGCTTTTAAAGGGAATCAATTTCACTACTGGAAACATTGTATTTTGTCCCAGGGCGAGGACAGAAACACAAAACACACCACACACACACACACCCACCCACCCACCCACCCACGCACGCACGCACGCACGCACGCACGCACACACACACACACAGACGCGAGTGGACAAATTCTATCCGGGTTTTTCCCCCTCCAAGGGACGGAACTTTCGGTTGCTCCGAGGTCGCTTTGGGTTTGGGTCACAAAGACCTTCCCTTGGACCTCCACCAGCTTTGTGAGGCGCGGCCTCGCTTCGGCTCAGAGGTTTGGTCGGGCGAATTTTCCACTCAAAATGCCGCGGATGGATGGCCGCGCTTGGGGATTTCTTTGTTGGTTGAAAGGGTTTTGGGTCGGGTCTGTCGATTTCTGGGTTGGATTTTGGCTGAGGTGAAGATTTCACCTTGGACTTGAAGGGTGACGCGTTCAGAAAGTACTGACACGAGCCACCCACGTGGACACAACTCCCGCACATAAAACCAAACACAACACCCAAGTTGAGCGAGGGTGTTGAGGGTATCAAGGCTTGTTTTGAAGGGGGTTTCCCAAAGGGGAGCCACCCAAACAGATTGGACATACCCATTTGGGGGTGGGTCAAAAATAGGCACCCAAAATGGAACCCTGGTAAATGGAAACATGGACTAAAACCTGCTGTCCCCTGGTGGTCTAATTTTGACCCACACCCATTTCTCAACAAAACACCTTGCCCAAACATTATTTTCTTGCTCTTTCGAGGCCTGCAAGGGCTCCCGAGAGGGAAAGGCATACCCTGTGTGTTTTTCGGTGTCAGTTCTTCTTCCAGTGCTCTCAGCTACCATTGTGACAGGTAACCAGGGAAACCAGCCATGGTAAAACAATGCCGAAGGGTTGCCTAAATTATTGGTAGCTCAAAGTAGCTTGGTCGTTTATCAACGGTACGAGGGTGTTCAAGGTTTTCTTTGCGAGAAATGTGGATACGTTTCAGGTACTGTTTCCTCTGCTCTTTAGGCCTGATTTGTTGGGCCGGCAGAACAGTTTGCAACGTTTGTTATGTAGGTGTGTCCTGTTTTGCGGCTACCCTTTTTTTTGAGGGTACCCCCTTTTTGGTGGTTTTAAAGGGAAGCCCAAAGAAGAAGCACAACTTGTTGGGGCACCCTAAGAATGACAAGCCACCCGACCCAACCCGTGCTAAGCCGAGGGCTCCGGAAGCGTGTACCTCTGCAATCGCACGCTGACTCCTGGCTGCGCAGACTTGTGCGAGGCGCGGTCCCATTGGGATGGGACGAGTGGGACGAGTGGGACGGGCATATGGCTGTGGGTCAAGCATGGGTACCCAAAATGGAACCCTGGTACATGGGACCAAGGACTAAAACCCGCGGTGCCTGGTGGTTCAACTTTGACCCATACCTCGCCTGGACCGCCTTTGAGCAACATGTTCATCGTTGGGGTATGATGCGAGGCACACTACATTGGGATCAACATGTCCATGTGTGCATGATCAACAGATCCATTTACGTCATTATACGGAATCCTATGAAGGGAAGCATGCCCATGACCCACATAAGAAGTTTTGACTATGGCACATCTGGCCCCCTCGTGTATGCTGGTTCAGACGGAACCAGGCTCATTGTTGCCAGTACGGTCAAAGTGAGTGTTTGCGCCCATTGTCCTACCAGCAAGGCAATGGCTCTGCGAAAGAAGAGTCGGCATGTTTTTGCTCGCTGCAAGGGTCGGACACTCACTTCTTGATAGTTCCGGGACTTGTTACTTTGTGGGAAGACAATTTAGTGGCAAAGAAACAGTTTGGACTTGTTGGGGGCCATCCACTCAGGAAGTGAGGCATAGGAAACCTGTCGCTCCATTGCCAGGAGAGGGAAGCCTTTGCTAGCTACCTGGACGAGGCGGGTGCAAGTCACGAGTCGCATCGAAGGCGATTCCATGAGCAGTAAGGTTGACCCAGGATTAAACAACCCTTCCGATTATTAGGGGGGTGTTCCCTCCAGTGGTCTTGTCACCCCACTAAACGGGTACACCCCCCTATTCATGGTTGTCGTTGGGAAACATTTAACATTTTTGCTTATTGTGGTTTAGTGGTTGAAATCCAACCACTGACCTGCTAGATTTTATAATTGTTTGCTCCCCTTCCAACGTCAACCAAGTAATCAACCAGGGGTTTATGAATCCGGAGTTCGCATTTTCTTGAAGGATGGGCTACGCAAGGCAAGCTGATTCCACAAGGTTCCGAGACTGTATCTGGGTCCAGCCAGTCGTGTTTTTTTTTGTTTGTTTCTTTTTTCCACGGCTTTTTTGGTGAGGGTTCCCCATGTCTAGAATAGACAGAAACAAGTTGGTATACCCTTATTCTAACCTCTCTACTGGAGGACCTAGGTATACTTTTTGACAAGACCATTTTAGTGGTGAGCCAAAAGTTAGGACTTTTTGTTGGCCAATCCACT